CTCTCCACACACACACACACACACACACACACACACACACACACACACACACACACACACACACGTACCAACGCAAAGATTCTTTTTCGAAGAATCGAACTATCTGAAAAAATACATAGACTACTCAATCTAACTTTAATCCTTTAATACCACAGTTTAATTTGACAATGACCCTGAAATAGAGTCGAAATTATCACCACCATAATTTGTGTCTTGTTTTCTTGAAATATAGTCGAGTTTACAAGATGACATTTTTACTTCGGAATATATGTTTTTTCTTATACTTCTTTGCCTCCAAACCAAGGTTAGCCCCACGCGCCCATGTCTCTCACCGATCTCTATATTTTCCAGGTGGTTATGCTTCCACCACTGAATACACAGGCTCTCTCCCCCCCCCCCCCCCCCCCCCCCTCCCCCCTTCCTCCTCCAATCATTTCAAGTCGGGTACTCGGACAGACTCAACCTATATGTAGAAATCGGGCAGATAAGGACGCTAATCTAAAATCGGGCAAAATACTTACAAATCCGGCACTTCAAATCGGCTGAAAGGGAAGCGTGACGCATAATATTGAACGTTGGCAAAATGTGACGCAAAATCGTGACGCAAAACTGTTTTGTATTGGTCGGACAATTTCTATACTACGTCGGGGCAACTTTTTTTGTCCGCCCCCAGAATTTTATTCCTTCCGTACGCCTATGAATGAATGTCAAAGCTGTCTAACTGGAATTGTTAAAATAAGGCACATGTACTCGAACACGCATATATTCTTGCGTGATCAAGTTTGTTTTTTCTTTCATTTTTCTTCCGATTCGTGCGTCCTATCACGGTTGATTGTGTCCCAATCACGGACGGCCCACTTCACGTGTTTGTTTGCTCCCTAGATACTGCGTTACTGAATGTTTATTGCCACAATGTATAGCCGCACGTACCATATGTAACGTTGTCAATATTCTGAATATCATGCAACAAATTTCAATATAAAAAATTCTACCATCTTACACAATAAATGTATCTCAAAACAATCCTCAAAACGTAACATCCGTCTCACATGGGGGGTTTTTATTTTTAGTATGCCAACATTTTTCAACTTCCGGACTAAATAATCTGGCACATCCGGAGAAATGAGAACTCCTACACTACCGACATTTTAGTGGCTTAGTTCTTGACATTTCATGGCATTTTAGATCATATAGATTATTATTGACGCAATAACGATTGCGTCAAATTGAGCAATAAATGTCTAATTTGTTTCTCTCTATTCAATGTTATTGTTTTGCCCAAACACAAAGCCATGTTGTGAAATCAAATAATTTCAAAGATATTGCGACATTTGGTTGTCAATGCTGATTGGCTATCACAAATCCAGGCAGGATATTGACCAATCAGGAAACGACCGGAAATAGATACAGCCTTTGAGAATATCCAGTTTAACAAAGACGAGGTCGCTATATATGGTCATGCTGCCCATATATGGCATACAAGCGAGAGAGAGTTATGTGAGCGTCGTGGCGTAATCGTCGTAGAAAAATTTTCAAAATTGCGTCAGGCGGCCATTAGGTTATGTTGCATTAGCGTGTTGTTGCGACACAAGCAGATAATAGCAGACAATTTCATGAGTATGGCTTTATTTTACTTCGTCTCGGTTTGTTGAAGGGATTGGCCTTACTTTGGCCTGCCCTGCAACGAAAGAACAACATTTTTTCGCCGCGGATTTCTCTTGTGGATTGCGTGTGCAAACTACAGAAACTGCAACGTCATAAAAAATAACCGAGGCAAATCACGAAACACATTGGCAGATACAAGACACTTCGTTCACCTTATCAGGAGAAACGAAATAACATTTTAAATATCCAAAGTTCAAGTTTAAATGCTCTACCATCGTCGAAGTCATCCATACAATAGAAATGGGACGAAAAGGACTTCGAATCAAACGAATGTTGTGGCCAACTTGACAGACAAGCAATCTAGTGTGAAGACCAAGGAACCTCGACCAAATGTGGCAACGATCCGTCCCCGGGCAAAGACTAATACTAACCCAAGTTCAAACGGGCAAAATGTTCATAAAATCGGAGAATATTTTATACTAGATTCAAATCCTGGCAGTACATTTAGTCGCGCGATTGATTGTCAAAATCGTGCTGAACTTACATGCAAGATTATTGAATCAAAAAAATTAGGTGATGTATTGGCACCGTATACGCGACTTGAATCGCACGAGAATATAAATGAAATAGTCGATGTGATTGTTGGCGAAACTAAGGCATATTTGTTCATGCAAAATTCTCACGGTGACCTACATAGCTATGTTAAAACCAAGAAAAGATTACGTGAGGAAGAGGCTGTGAAATTATTTCGTCAGATTGTGAAAGCGGTTTGCCGTTGTCACGAAGCAGGCATTGTGCTACGTGATCTGAAGTTGAGGAAGTTTGTCTTTAAAGATAAAGATAGGTGGGTGATATGTTATTTTCTCAAACTCTGGCCATGTGCAGGAGAGATTTCTTTGTGCATTGTTGGCGAAAATTTCTCGATGAATGAAAGTAAAGTGTTGGCACATTGTTGTGACTTTATTGTTAGGTGTCTTTTGTGGAGCTTTTTATGTGTTTATACTCTTCGTTTTGAAGCATATAAACCCTAAAAACTGTACAATACTAAGACAGATTTAAACTTTGGCTAAACAGATTTTTGCGGTAAAAATGATGTACGATTTTTCGCCTCAAATCGGAATCCTGTGGTACGCACCGGATATGAAATCGACATGTTATAAAATTGACAACACTGCATGAAGCGCAATTCGCCAATAAATTTCGCAATGTTCTTCCGATTTAAAATCTACTGTATGATATTTTCGTGTCACAAGTAGCTGAAATAATTGAATTCTTTTCCATTGCGGTGATTTCTTGCGTGGGTTGTTATGTTTTGATGAAGTCAGAGGCGTCGACAATTCTTTGGGCGTCATTGGATACCGCTTGTTGTCCTTATTCGTTTTTCATGATTCCGCGTCTGTTTTAGCTTGATATTTTTTATTCCCAAGTTAAAATATATGCCTATAAGGATGTAAATTTCTCAAAAAGCTATTAGATTACATAAGAATTGCGCAAGCAATTTTCTGTGTCGGTATAAACGGCAATATAAAAAAAAAAATCGCTGATGATGCGTTATTTCGTAACCGGAAGTCTGAACACCACCTCTGTGTTTCAATAATTGAATTTTCGTGCGTGTTATGTGGGGCCATATATCGACTTTTGTTTCGCCATTTTCCCTTTCGATCAAATATGTAAACAATACCTACTTTGTCCAGAGGGAAACAGAGTATGTATGATGCAATAGAGGAAAAAACTAGATGCATCTAGAAATGTGTTCATGAATATTATCAGATGGATCATCTGTAAACATGAAATGCATGTGCACAAATGTATCTGAGTATATGTAGGTTGTTTAATTGATGATCCGTAAATTCATCTGGCATAAGGCTGGGTAAACTAGTAAAGTAAGGCTCATTTTAACGAGTTAATTTAATTTTATACGCAATTTATTTTCAGAACTGAACTTAAACTGGAGTGCTTAGAAGACGCGTGTGTGCTCGAGGGATCAGATGATACGCTGGAGGATAAACATGGTTGTCCTGCATACGTTAGTCCTGAATTGCTGCACAGTTCTGGGGGATACTCGGGGAAAATTGCTGATATCTGGAGTCTTGGAGTGATGCTGTACACCATGCTTGTTGGACGCTATCCCTTTCAGGATGTTGAACCTACGGTAATGTTTTCCAAAATACGACGAGGACTTTTTGTTGTCCCAGATTCATTATCTTCGAAGGCAAAATGTCTGATCAAATCTATGATGAGGCAAGAGCCATCTCAACGGTTAACCGCAGAAGAACTTTTAGAGCACCCATGGTTTAAGTCGACAACTCAACCAATAAACTTGTATCGTTGTGACAGGCGATCACCTGACCAGACCGTCCCTAGTGTAAATGTAGACGAGTCATATTTTGTGCCTGTAAAGAGTCGTGCTGTTGTGTAGGGTATATATATATATATATGCTGTTCAGCTGTTGTGTATAGTTAGGAATAGAAATCGAAAATTTGTGAGTTACTTGTTCTCCTAGATGGTCTTTGTCAGCCATCAATTCCTGTAAGATATTTTGCTAGTTGTTGGTCAAAAATACATGAAAATGTCAAGGCAATTGTCAACTCTGAGCGAAATATTTGCTCAGATGTCTGAGTTCAAAATTGCTGTGTCATCTTTTGTTAGCAATTAGTAATATTTTTTGTCAGGGCTGTTGTTAGTTCACAGTCTTTAAACCTTTGTTTGACTCTATCATTTGATGTCGACTCTAGTATCTTCGTCTGTCTAACACAGAATGATATTCTACTTCAGTCTTCTGAGAATGTTAAAGAGCTGTATCAGAAGTTTCAATATCTTGACCACAAACTTGCCACATTGTTCCAAATTTATTCTCTTAATTATTATTCCATGGTTTTAGGGGTGAAAATCGCCACCAAATCATTGCTTTAAAATCAAAAATGGTAGTATGTAACTTGCAAGTTTTTGATTTTGCATTTGTGTACATTTTTGTTGTTAATGTATATGTTTAGAATGTAAGATATTGGTGGGGCGTGAGGTGCTTATGTTTACAAATGTATAAATTATATAAAAGATAGAAAAATAGATTTTGTAAATATACAGCAACTTAAAACGACGGAGACAGTTCACAATAGAATTAAAGAGGTTTGGATATTTGAATTATGTCTGATTTGAATGACTAATGTAGTCGCACTTCTTGTTCCTTTTGCAACAAATTATCATAGCTCGTTTTCCAAGTGTTTTGACCAATTCTAGTCTGCACTCCCAGACATCATTTCCCACGCTCATTCTTCGCTCGTGATGCTGTGCGCGGGGAAAATGACGTCTGAAAATATAAAACTATAAATGTCATTTGGAAAAAAGTATGCATTTTAACAACGCATCTATTAAAAAAAATCAGCCAGTAAAGGTTCAGGAAAAATGACGTTGATTGATTGAAGGGCTTTATACGTCGCGTAATTTTCAATGAATTATTGATATCCCACAATGCACTGTGCATTCAAGAAATCCTCTGTATTAAAACATTTGGGTCTTTTTCTAAGGTCTTTTTCCAAATCTACTTTTAAATCTATTGATTGCATTTCTAGCCCATCAGAGTTCATGAAAATGGTCAATTGTGCACACGCAGTTTAGCAGTGAGTTTAGCCAGCTGCAGCCTCATAACGAGGCTGAGCCAGGGTGGACTAAACCCGCGCCTCCTTCACCCGCTTTTCGGGTACCGATTCCCGAAACCGGAAATGGTCAAAACGGAAGTAGGAAGTTGTGGGCTGCGCATATTTGAAGAAGTAAAATACTATATTTAAAGCATTTAACCAAAATATTAACAGAATAATAAATTGAAAACACACCGCACAAATTCGATGTTTACTATATATAAATTATCGATAAAAAAAGTGCGCGTTTTATATTAAGACCCTATTAAAATTATGGCAACACTAAGTATAGTTTAATTATAAACAGACATGATATTGTTTAATTTCCACTAAAATATCAATGCAATTCGAAACCCAAACAATTGCCAAATGCAAACAAGTCCTTTTCAGTGATACGGCGAAAAATCATTTTGTTCTGCTCATACCATATATGGGCATGATGACCATATATGTCGCAAGCATAATGAAAGACAACACTGGCCGGAACTCTGATGTAAATGTTGTAGTGTGAATTTTCAAGATGAAGGCTAATCATTTGTGTTTATTATAGCGTATTTTCACGTTCGTAGATTGTATTTTGGCAAGACAGAGAAACGACAATGCCTGATCGCATAACCGTAAAGCGTTTTATTGAAGAAACACGAGCTGATCTCTCTTCGCCAGTCACGTCAAATTTTGCTGAACATTCGACACTAAATTCATGCCGAGCGTCGATTACGAGCCTAGAAGAGGTAACATTCACTGAATACTGAATATTTAAACAGTTAGACACGAGGGAATTTGACTTATTGCAACAAGATTTCACTTTACGCGGATGTTTTTCAACCACTTAGAGCTCAATACCGAATGACATTTTGTTCATTTTGACATTGTTTATAATCGTATTTCAACAAAATGAAAACATTTAGGGCTTGAGATTAATCTATTTTATGGGAAATATCGAAAATATTGTAATATTTCTCCCCAAATCTGCTATTTTTGCTCACTTCCTGCAGAATGCTTAAACTATATAAAGTATTTAGCTCTTAATAATACGAAGTTCCGTTTCTACCTCATTATTTATTCATGTTGTTTACTGTATTGTTTACAGTTGTGCTGAAAAGGTCGCAACTTTTTAATATAAATTCTGTGTTTTAGGTGTGCACAAATGTGAAGTGCTGTTGTAATCTCGCCCGTTTTTTATGTCTGCCTGCAAATTAGATTTGTTTAAGTGTTGAAAGATGTATTATTGAAACCTACTTGACTACAATTCTACCAGGGTGCATTCCATGTAGAGTGCACGCCGAAGTTCCGCCGCTGAAAAATTCGCACACGCCGCCAGACTGCCAGATTTATTTCATCTATATTTTGGCAAAATTTTTCGGCGACCTCCTCCCCCCCCCCCC